GGCATCTTTCTCCCTTTGAGTGTGGCTGTTGTGTCATCATGGAAATTTCAGCTGCTATAGCTGCTGCGGTTACAGTGGTATCATGGATCCCTTCAGTACTGCTTCAGGAATTCCTTAGGCGATCGTGCTAAAAACAGTTAGTGTCAGAGGCTCAAGAGGAGGTGCTTCCGGTGGTTCTGCTGCTGGCAAGGCACTAGGAGGAGGCTTTCAGGACTCAGCAGCAACATGATGTTTCATTAGGCCCCTGTGTTATGGCCTCCTAAGACCCCAGTTTGCTGGTAGTGTATGTCAGAAACCTCAGTTCATAAAGGCATCTTCCTTAAGACTGACATGTAGGATAGTCAGTCACTTGATACATGAAGTAGGTGACCCAGAGAAAAAAGACTACTAGTCTGGTGTCCACATGTGGCTACACATTGGAATCGCATGGAGGGCTTTTACAGAACTAATACCCAAGTCACACCCCATACAAACTCAATCACCATGTCTATGTGAAAGCCAGGTACCACTATTTTTAAAGACTCCTGGCTGATTTCAGTATGTATTAAGTTTTGCAATTAATGGGCTAGCTAATAATTTTTACAAGATCATCCAACTGGGGAAAAGAACTTATCATGGTTCAACTCCATTGTTTTTAACTGAAACTGACCTTTGCCCTGAAAATGAAGAATGAGCGACACAGTATCCTTCACAATTAACCTTCAGATTGAATCCTTTAGCCCCATATTCACCAGTGGAGAATATGAGTGTGTTTCCATTTGGCCTTGTAAAATGTGGAAGGAGGCCTTCTGGTAGCATTCATACCAGTTGTGGGACATGTAATAACAATCACTCAACAAGTGTCAATGGAGGGCCTACTGTGTACCGGGCTTGTCCTAGGCTGTATCAATAAATGGTGAGCAAGGAACATAAGGGTTTGCCCTCCCAGAGCTTATCAGCTAAAAAAGGACCAAGATATAATTCAGTGATTCCAACACTTTAGGGTTAAGACTTTAAAGGGAACTTATTTTATTCACTTGCTCTAGGCCTTGTTTCTTCGAGAGGATTTGTGGCAGCAAACACACACATAATGAAATTGTTAGAATATAAATAAGAAACAAATCAAGACTAGGGAAAATATAAATAAGAGTAGAGAGTCAAGAACAGAGGAAGAAAAATTCATAATTATGCAAATCATAAGGATCCACTTGGGCTTACCCTCAAATTTGGCACAAAGTATCCTGGCAGCCAAATTGAAAAGGGAACCATGGTTAGTTATAAAGTTCTTGTTGTCAGAAAGACAAAAAAAACCCTAGTTCCTCGGGGGAGGAAAGGCTTTCCTAACACTTGGCTCTTGAGGAGATGTCTCTTGTGGAGCTTCATACAGTCTCCTATAGTGACTACAAAAAATAGATTTTATAACTGTGCCTTGCAAACTCGGCAATAAAAGTGAGGACATAAAATGTAATTTAATAAATCCATTTCTGTCACGAGTAGGTGATCAGAAGTAAGTTGATTGAGGTCAAATATATGTCCAGATGAACAGTGACTAGAAGTTGGAGTACCTGGAGGACAGCCTTATAGCAGCCCTCTCCATAGCCATATGGTTATATTTTCAATTTTCTAGGGTAGAGTTGAAAGGTTTACCCTCAAATTTGGCACAAAGTATCCTGGCAGCCAAATTGAAAAGGGAACCATGGTTAGTTATAAAGTTCTTGTTGTCAGAAAGACAAAAAAACCCCTAGTTCCTCGGGGGAGGAAAGGCTTTCCTAACACTTGGCTCTTGAGGAGATGTCTCTTGTGGAGCTTCATACAGTCTCCTATAGTGATTACAAAAAATAGATTTTATAACTGTGCCTTGCAGACCCGGCAATAAAAGTGAGGACATAAAATAAAATGTAATTTAATAAATCCATTTCTGTCACGAGTAGGTGATCAGAAGTAAGTTGATTGAGGTCAAATATATGTCCAGACGAACAGTGACTAGAAGTTGGAGTACCTGGAGGACAGCCTTATAGCAGCCCTCATAATTTCTTTCTACTGGAATTTCCATAGCCATATGGTTATATTTTCAATTTTCTAGGGTAGAGTTGAAAGGTAAGTATTCCATGTTGTGGATAATGGGATGGTTATATGAGGGGTCAGCAAACGTTTTCTGTAGAGAGCCAGATAGTAAATATTTTGACTCTCATGAGCCAGACAGTCTGTCTTAGCAGTTCAGCTCTGCAGTTGTAAGACAAATCAGTCATGGACAACACAGAAATGAACAGGCATGGCTGTGTTTCAGTGAAACTTGATTTATAAGAACAAGTGGCAGGTCAAATTTGGCTGACAAACTATATCACTAAGCCTAAGTTTAACCTAATAAATAAATAAATAAATAAATAAATAAAAAGCAAAGTATATTACTGGCATTTTTTGTTGGAATTATGGAACATTTTTAAACTTGGCCAGTCTTGGTCAGTGGTGATTTCTGGCCTCATTATTTAGTTGATAGCAGGTGATGATACCTGTTGAAGAGAACATGGCTTGCACTGAGGCTGCAAATTCATAAAGTTCACTGGAGCAATGTGTAGACCCCAGAACAATCCAGTACAACTATTCATCCATCCAAGTGATGCTCAGCAGTCATGGGACTATCAGGTTGTTGCAACACAGAGCTGGGCTCGTTTTACGTATTTTTTTGGTTCCACATGGAGAAAGAGAATTGTTATGTTCCTCACTGGGAGGTCTAACAAACCAACGTGGATTCTCTATTAAGATATCCTTAGGAAAGAGAGATGACACTGACATTGAGTTGTTTCCAGCAGCTTGATGTGTGCTATTCACTCCTTTAACATCTTTTCAAGTGCAAAATCTATTTCAAGCTACCCAATGTACATTCTAACCAAACTTTCATGAGTATAGCCAAATATATGGCTACACGCAGGGGAAAAACCTACCAAACAACAACAGAAGAAACATCATTTCACTGTAAAAAAGGACTTAGCTATGAGCAGATAATAAAAAAGGACTTAGCTATGAGCAGATAATAAACCATGTTGATGGTTTATCATGGCCTGAATTCTTAAATATCCTCTGATGCTGGGAAAGATGAAAGACAGAAGGAGAAGGGGCCAGCAAAGTATGAGATGATTTGATGGCATTGCCAACTCAGTGGACATGAATTTGAGCAAACTCCAGAAGAGAGCAAAGGACAGGGAAGCCTGGCATGCTATAGTCTAGAGGCTCACAAAGAGTTGGACAAGACAGCAACTGAACAACAACAACAATGGCCATAAACTAAATTGGGAGGTTAATTGTGTAATGGAGCTACCTTAAAGGGTTAAGTCCAGGAGGTCATCAGAAGAGCTGGCTTCAACTCATTTAGCATCTGCAACAAAAGAAGCTTTAGGGCTTCAGCTTTGAAGTTTTTAAAAACATGGCTGTGAATTCAATGGTGGAACCAACCTTTGGGGTTTCATTGTCAGTCTATACAGAATTTGGTATATCATACTTTCTGGATAGCAGAGAAATTGGTTTGTTTGCTCCATTTGGAATTTCCTAACTATTCACTTATCCAGCAACACAAGGTGGTTAAGAAAATAGTTTTGCTCATTGTAATAGAATATTTTAGGCTCATGGAGAGCACATACTGTCTTTATTGTCATATACCCAGGGCTTAGCCCTGTACCAGATCTACGAGGGTCACTGTAAAATGCATGCCCATGAATGACTTCTGGGCAAAACTATCATGTCTGCAAAACTTGTGCCACAGAGCAATTGAAGGCACATGCCAGGAAGGGACATGGCTCCTTGTTATTACACAAATTGTGGCAGACATTGAACCACTCAAAAAGAGACTAAGCTTTTTATTTTGCAATTGGAACAAAATATGCTTGCAAAACTTAAAAAACAGAAAACTGCTCAAATGGAATCACAGTGTTTCCCAGTGATATCACCAGATCAGGGTAGGGGTAAGAGATTAGCAATCAGGTTCATGTGGCATGTATGAATATTTTTAATAATGGCTTATTCTTGACAAGCAGGATTTGAGGCCAGAGAAGTTTCCAAGTAAATTTCTTAGGGAAAATGTCTGCTATCAATTTGCCTGAGACTTCTACTTTTTCAGAATCAACAAGCAACCAGACATATTGTTTTGTTCCTGCCTATCTTTCCTCTGGCCCCAGTCAATATGTTTATTTATAACAATAACTTTATCAGTTGTCTTAAGAAAACAAATTTCCTTCAACAGAAGTCACAATGTGATCTCAGTCATATTTTTTAAAATGTTGCTGCCACTAATAAGAGATGCATAGAGAATGGATGCTGTTCTGAGCCAAAGTCAAATAGTGGTCAGTGTGTGAGATACTGCTGCAGCTCTACCCGCACCACACACTGATGGCCAGGTCTTACGAGCAAGAAGGAAAAAGAGAACCAAGAGGATGAGGCTGTACACAGAAACCCTCAAAACCCCGTAAAAGCTCCAGCCCTGAGCGTTTCATTGTAGGACTTCATGGCTCCCAGAGAAGTATGGGAATGTGGGCAGAAACAGAGAGGAGATGAAGTTAAAGCCAAGTCTGACATCACATGGGGATAGCTTTGATGTGGATAATTTGTCTCACTGTAACAGATAAATTACCTACCTGATTGCATCCAGCAGGTTCCAAAGAGACAAACTTTGGCTCCAGTGACACTCATTAAATATCACCCCATCCTTGTTACCTCCACGTCTTTCTGATTTCCACATTGCCAGACCAAGGGAGCTTGAGCATCTGTCCGTAGTGTTGTTCCTAATCCCACCCTCCCCAACATTCACCAGAAAGCAACAGTAACAGAATAGAGATGATAGATAACCTCAGGGAGCATCTGGATTTACCTCACTGTCCCGTTGGAGTGAGTGTAGAGAGCCAATTATGAGTTGTCATGCTGCTGAGCATCTTTGGAGCATAGAGCTATGCTAATCTCCAAAGCCAGTATTGATCATTTTTACATGTATGCTTATTTGTTCACTGATCCATCCTTGGTGTTCTTGCTCTCAGGGCCTGAGGATCATTTTCTCTGATGCATCTCGGCTCATCTTCCGCCTCAGTTCCTCCAGTGGTGTGCGGGCCACCATCAGACTGTATGCAGAAAGCTACGAGAGGGATCCCAGCGGCCATGACCAGGAGCCGCAGGTAACACAACAGAGCTGTGTTCTCAGCACAGTGTATCTTACACTCATGGAAAATTTCAGGAGCTCCAGTGGGCCTTTAGTGGGGGAGATTTAGAAAGGCGTATGGATAGCTGCAGCCAAAGGCACACTTAGAATGACTCTAAGTAAATTTAACTCTTTCATTGCAGTGTTTGAAACAGAAAAATTGCTCTCAAGCATCTATGGGTTTAGAACAGCATTTCCCAAACTACTTGCTGTCCTGTAGTTTTTGGACTTTAGTGACCTCAAGAGAGGCACCTTGTAAAGATAAGTTGAGGAAATTTTGAGTTAGTCAAGCTGATCCAACTCCTCAGAGCCTTGACTATACTCATTTAAATGATCAGTTCCCAAGTGTTTGGAAAGCTCCGAGTTGGATGGTGACCTTGAGGTGCCAGTACAGGTGCCACCCTGGACTTCCTGAGGTCGCTGCCTGGCCCGGCATGAGAAGAGGGCCCAGGGCTGCTCTGAATTTAAAGTTCAGGGAGGACACTGACAAAGCTGGACTGGCTTGAGTTTAGCAGAGCCCTCTCAAGTTGTCCAAAAAGGGCAAATTAAAAACTCACTTAGAAGAGCAACAGCACCACCGTATCCCACTCCCAAATTTGTTAAAGCTCCAGGCAACATTAAGCAATACCAGAAAACCCCCACTCTAATGCTGGGTACTTGCAGGCACACCGCAGGCTGCCCCTCCCTGCCTTGATCTCTAGTTTAACCTGGGTTTTGAGGCAGAATCTTCGATGAGATGTTTCCTTGCATTGAAAACACTGGTTCCCCCTGCAGCGCTTCTTCTGTGCAGAAGGAGAGGAACAAAGAAAAACTCATTGCTTCTCAGTTTAGTGTTGCCCAGAACTTTCAGTTGTAATTTACCAAATTTGTGTCCTGGAAGGAGTAAAATACCAGGAAGGGTTATCTTTCCTTGTCAGTAATTTAGTGGTTTTTAATTAAAAAAAAATTGCCTCTTTCTTTGGAGAATCTCAAAGAATTTGGTAAAAATGATACCATAGATTCTTATACCTGACCCTGTAACCAGTAGATCTGTCTGGAGTAAAATTATCTAAAGCAGGAGACCAAGAGCTATTGTTAGGATCATTGAGAGTTTGAAAGGGAGAGCACAGGGCCAGCATTGAGACTCTGGCCTTTCCTTCTCAGGATCCCAGACTTTTCATGCAGGGATGTGCCACAGTCTGCCAACATAATTTGTTAGTGAGTACTTTTCATGCAGGATAGTACCTAATCATGCAAGAATTGGAGGCTGTATAAAAATTCCATATAAAACTCTTCTACATCTCATGTTGGAAAATGAGATTAAAGCGAGGGCCTGAAAGTCCAGAGCTATGTACCGGGTGAGGAATGATATTCCTGGCGTCACCAACTCTGACTCACTCTGACTCAAGGCTATTTTTTCTCAACATTCTTTTCCCTATTTGCATGGGGTAAGTGGTTATGATGTTTGCTTATTTTTATTTATCTCTGCACCAAGTGCAGAAGTATGATGTCTAGGCCATTAGACATGTCTAAAAAATCCTATGCACATATGAGTGTCTCTCTGAGGTAGTCCCACAAAGCCAAGTGGTGTTAGTTTTTTTAGGCTTCCTTTGAAGCTGAAAGCCATCACAGGCCTGCTGCTAGAGGACTGTGGTAAATATCTACATTAGTCTGTGGGTAAAAGAAAAAAAAAAAACATAAGTAATGCTGGTTACAGTTGCCATGGCTATGTTATTATCCATTCCATTGGTTTAAAAAGTTTGCCATTTTGAATGACTCAGAAACCCCTTCATTGATATGGCTCTTCTTCTGATGACTGCTGTTATTTCCCTTTCTAATCGTAAGTGAGGGTTTTCTCAGTCCTTGCGAGATGGGCCTCAGAATGTTTAACTTACAATCTAGCTAAACATTTTAGCTTAAAAATAGATTTCCATATTCAAACACCAGACTTCATTCACTCATCAACTTCAGGCATTTTACATGATACAGTTCAGTCAAGATAAAATGTAGAGTAGATTTTAAAAGACATCTAATCCCCTAAGGAAAAGGAAACACCGTTTCTCTGCAGGCCCACCTGGCTCAATTACTGCTGACCTGTCCCTCGGCGTCCAAGTTTAACCACTGGGGGCCCCCTTCCAGCATTGCTTTCCAGGACCACTTGCCTCTGCTTTCCAAGAGCTCTGGAAAGAAAAGCCTGCAGTTAACTGTTAACAGAGATCAAAGATAAGACCTTCTGCTTCAGCTGCTAAGATTATTACTGGTCCAGGGTTGGCCAGACAACACCAGCTTGTGATGCTTTCTCAGTCACAGAGACCTCTTCCATCCTTCTAGCTTGTTCTGACTTAGAGCCTGGAAAGCAGAGAACAGATGCCCCCACCTGCCCCCTCCTTGCACTCAGAAACCTATAAAAGTAACTCTCTAATCTACAGAGGTTCTATTGATACTCTTATTCTAATTCAACAGGTATTTATTTTGATGTTTTACCCATTCTAATTTAATACTATCTCCATTTAAGTTATTTAATAAGAAGATTCCCTTATTGTTGTTATTCAACAAGAGTTCTTCACAGGCGGCATGGTGGTGAAAAAAAAAAAAAAAAACTCCTCCTGTTTGCACAAAAGACGCAAAAGACACAGGTTGGACCCCTGGGTCGGGAAGATCCCCTGGAGTAAGAAATGGCAACCTACTCCAGTATTCTTGCTTGGAAAATTCCATGGACAGAGAAGCCTGTCAGGCTCCAGTCCATGGGGCTGCAAAGAGTTGAACACAACTAAGGGCACATGCAAGGAGTTCCCTTTAACTAGCTTATGAGCATCTGGCTCTTTTACTTTGCATATGGTTAGTTTCTTTTCCAGACATTTTAAACACATGTGAACAGAACATGTTTTAAACATTTATGCTGTGGTTGCCTTGTGGAAGTATTCATAACTATCCTGGTGATGCAACTAGGAAAACTTGTGATACAATCTATATGCACATAAGTCTCTACTCCTGTGTGTAGATTTTCCATGTGGGTCCTTTTGTCTAACAGTAATTATACCATTTGTCTTAAGTTGTGTAAAATAATCTCTTATCTACACCAGATTAAAAAATTCTATTTACATACACTTGTGGATTGATAGTGAGGGGAGAAGGAGGTGGGGAGGGCTCTGATGAGATGAGAAGGTACTTGCCTTGCCCTTACCCTGTGTCCTTGGTAAATTAGGAGGGAAAGCTTCCAAGTCCTGTTTCTGAAAGATTACATAGTTTTAAAAATACAAGATTACTTTAATTTTACTGGCAATCAGTAGGGCTTCAGTGAGCCCTCACACCAGCTGGGAATAATTTGGAAAAAGGGATGAGCCAAAATAATTTAAATTCACAGGTAACCAGAAACAGTCCAATTGTTTCCATTTTCTTTCCCATCAAGTTTATTATCAGGGCCACTATATTAAGCGTTTTTTTTAAACTTCTTTCCTTCTCCCTTTGAACCTGAGGGTGGAGTAACTAATGAATAATAAAAGATCCAAAAGGAAAAGGAAGGAGAAGTTTTGCTAAAGCCTGGGGTAATCACAGGCTGATAATCAGTTCCCTACTAATCAGCAGCTGGCTTTGGTACTTTAATTGCAGAATATAACCATGGCCCACCCCACCTAGTCACTGGAAGGAGACAGATTTTCTCTAACCATCCTTACAAATTGAGGGAATGTATGTATGTATTTCTGATAAGCTGTACATAGACTATTTTAAAAGCTAATATCTAAGCACCAGAAGATTCTGCATTGAATTCTTCTGATGCTTTCTTCTACCTGTTCTTATTATGACTTTATAATCTAGAAATATAAAGCCCAGAGCCCTTTTGTATTATGTTGGAAGAACATATAATTTATCTTCCAAACTACAGTACTTCTGAGAGTGAAATGGGGGCACTGATAATCACTATGTTGAGACTATCCCCAACACATCAAAACAAATGGTTCTTCTAGCTATGCACCTCCATGCCGTCTTAGATCTGCAGGTCTCTTTGCAGACAGGTTCTTAAAAGAATCAGCAGTTTAAGCCCAATAGTACAAAGAGAGCAGGCCAAGAAGAGTTAGATCAGTGATTCTAACCCAGATTGCACGTCAGAACCACTTGGGGGCCTTGGCGAAGATACCATGACTGGGCCTACTCCCAGAGACTGACTTTTAATTATTCTGTGTAGGCCTCTAGTTTTAAAAAAGCTTCCTATTAATAGGTGATTCTAATTAGATGAGCATATTACTTTATATATACTTGTATATATATACAAGTATACATTAATATACTTGTTTGTGTATGTGTGTGTGTGTGTGCGCACATGTGCATGCACATGCACTCAGTCGTGTCAAACTCTTTACAACCCGGTAAACGGTAGCCTGCCTGTGAAATTCTCTGTCTGTGAAATTCTCCAGGCAAGAATACTGGAGTGGGTTGCCATTTCCTACTACAGGGGATCTTCCAAACCCAGGGATCAAACCCACATCTCTTGTGTCTCCTGCATTCAGTTCAGTTCAGTCGCTCAGCCGTGTCCGACTCTTTGCGACCCCATGAACCACAGCACGCCAGGCGTCCCTGTCAACTGCTAGAGTCTACCCAAAGCCATGTCCATTGAGTCAGTGATGCCATCCAACCATCTCATCCTCTGCCCTCCCCTTCTCCTCCTGCCCTCAGTCTTTCCAGCATCAGGGTCTTTTCAGATGAGTCAGTTCTTCGCATCAGGTGGCCAAAGTATTGGAGTTTCAACTTCAACATCAGTCCTTCCAATGAACACCCAGGACTGATCTCCTTTAGGATGGACTGGTTGGATCTCCTTGCAGTCCAAGGGACTCTCAAGAGTCTTCTTCAACACCACAGTTCAAAACCATCAATTATTTGGTGCTCAGCTTTCTTTATAGTCCAACCACACATGACTACTGGAAAAACCATAGCCTTGACTCTAAGGACCTTTGTTGGCAAAGTAATGTCTCTGCTTTTTAATATGCTATCTAGGTTGGTCAT